AAAAAACATCACAGAAAACGTTGAAAATCAATAAAAAATCGAATTTCGAGCGCTTTAACCGACAGTTGGCCTATAATACTCACACCTGGCCGATAAGCCACCGGTTCCCACTTTGACTTTTCAATGCCGATTTTCTCAAAGAAGGACATCTTTTTCGAATTTTGACTACTATTTTAATGGGAATCTACATGACTTTCTGCACAAAATAAAGCAATAAAATTTTTCACCGCACACCACCTATATTAAGAGACTATTGTCCGGATTATATCCACTTCGCATGAATTCGCAGATTATATCCAATTCCAATTCGTCTGTAGTCCCCAAAAATTTTTCGTTAAATTCATGAAACAGTAAGCGTTTGGATAATTATTTTCGAAAAAGGAAAAAAATATGAAAAATATTATATGTGAAGATGACCAACAAGCTTTACACTTCGGAATCGCTCTTCCCATTAACTCGTATATTGACACAGAAAAATATTCAAATATCTAATTATATACAAATTTCAATTTCCAGGTTGTGAACTTGACCTGGTTCTTGTTCTCGACTTCTCCACAACCACCGATCCAGTCTACAATTCGTACAAGGATCTCAGTAAGCGACTGGTGCAACAATTGAAGATCGGACCACATTATACACAGGTATGCAATGACTAGCAGTAGTCTTACTATTCTGACACTCTAGAAATGCTGAAATAACTCTTCACAGGTTGCCGCCGTAACATTTGCAACTGTAGGACGAACCCGTGTGCGATTCAACTTGAAAAAGTACAGTACCCAAGAGGAAGTGCTTCGAGGAATTGACAAATTGCAGTCCAAAGGAGGAACTACTGCAATTGGTGGGTGATTTTATTAGAAAATTATTTGTTTTCTGGTCAATTTGAGACAAAAATTGGCATTTTAGGTAGAGAATGAAGGAAGTTATGAAGTTTTCGAACTATCGGAAATTTACAAATTCCAAATCTATAGTAATTTTCAGGCGCTGGTATCGAGAAAGCTCTGACGCAAATAGACGAATCCGAGGGTGCTCGTCCAGGAATCGCCACAAAAGTTATGATTGTTTTCACTGATGGATGGAGCAATAAGGGACCAGATCCAGAGAAAAGAGCTAGAGACGCAGTTAACGCTGGTTTCGAAATGTATACAGTAGCTTATACGGTAGGTGTTGATTCCTGGCATTTTTAAGTGAAATTTCCAGTTTAGCCTTTCACTCACTTCACATTATTTACTTCACATTATTTCTTGCGGTTTCTTTTTTCTTCCTCCTCCCTTCTCGCCTAACATGTTACATGCGACCCTTCCGACTACTAGAGAGGCGAGAGAAACGAGAGCGCAAACGCCACCACTATGTGTACACACTCGGTGGCTACTAACAACGTGCGGTCCACTGGTGTAGTGGTTATCACGTCTGCTTCACACGCAGAAGGTCGCCGGTTCGAACCCGGCGTGGACCTACTCTTTTTGTTTTTTTTTCTTAGTGAATTGTTTCAGGCACGCGCCCCGGGATCTGTCACGTTGAACAATGAAACGCTGTCAGCGATATCTGGAAGCAGTGGTCACGCATTCACAGATGTCACATTCCAAACGTTGGTGGACAAAATCAAGCAACGAAATCTGCCATGTATGCCTTAAACCCTTCTAAAAACCCTCTATTTTTTCTCATTTTGGTTATATAATGTAAATATGTAAATGTAAATTGTAAACTCTTCTGTACACTTTCAACACATTGCTCAGGATTTCTTTTTGGTTCATTTTGTTCTGTTTTGGAATATCTGGAAATCTCTACTACCTCGAATAAAAACTTTATCATGGAAAATTACTGTTTCAAAAGTTGTATACATAAAGACGAGTTTACTGGAAAGCATTGCTGCTTTTAAATTATCTTTAAATATAAAAGTTCCCAAAGGAGTGTACTAACCATTTTTTAGGTGTGTTGTATGTGTGTTGTATGTGTAAACAGTATATAACACTGTTTTTAGTATGATCGAGGGAGAAAAAGAAGAATAATGAAGATGCCAAAGAGAAACAGAGCATTACTGTCCTCCCCTAGACTAGTGTTTTTCGAGTGTCTGCGTCTCTCGCTCTCTCGCTTTGAACTGTAAAAGAGAAGCGAGGAGAATAGGTGTTTAATTGCTGTTTTGATGCCTTTTTTGGTTTGCGAAAATATTTATTGTTGGATTACGGTAGCACTCGTTTGCCGGCTGTGTTTTCGAAAATTCTCCTTGAAATACGGTGACCCAACTTGTGTGAAAATTCGGCCACAACTCCAATTTTTTTGCACAAGAATAATAAATTGGATTAGAATTGAAGCTGGGTGCCCTTTCACAATTACAGATTTTGCAATGTTTGAAAAAATGAAAATTATTAAAGTCCCGCTAATTTCAGATAGAGAAACCGAATTTCTTAGTGTTCTTTATGTATTCTTATTGATTAATATAGATTTGAATCACGATCCCACGATTTTAATAATTTTCTAACACATAATCGGATTTTGAAAATATTTGAAACAGCAATTTTTCAATTTCCTGCTAACTTGAGAGATACTATTGTCGAATTAAAAAAACTGAGACCTGGAAAATTTCGCGGGCGGCTTCCGTGTCGATTTACTGGGCCTCGCCGTAAAATCACTACAGTATTAAACGAAATTAACTTCTGTGAATTTAGTGGGATTTTCTTGACAAAATTTAGATTTCTTGGTATGAAAATTATCGCTAGCTTCTCTTCAGAATCTGTGTTTCTTCGAAAAACCGAACATAATTTCGAAAGCTCGAACGAGGCGAAAGTCTGAAGTATTACGTTTTTGCCGCGCTTTTCCGTAGATCAAATAAACACTTGGGTCCAAAGAAACGGGTCAGAAAAGGCGCTCCAGCAAGCTCGTAGGCCAAAAGAAATTTAATAATTTTGAAGTGGACGCGGGTTCGATCTAGATCATGATCTATTTTTTCAAAATCAACGGGTTGCAACGCGCGCTTTTTCGCTCATCGTTTAAAACTTTGAAACTCAGCAAACGATGTTCGGCAGCGAATATAGAATTTTTGAAAAATTTACTGTTGCGCGCTTTCTGACCTGCTTCCTGGGACCCAAGTGGTCCCAGTTTTTTTTTAATTCCAGAATATTTTTCTGGCTCCATATCGTGCTAAATAAGAAAATATTTAAAAAACAGTAAAATTTTAAGTTCTTAAAGGAGGGCAGACAGCAAAAATTTCGGGGAAAGTTTCAGGGAATGTGTATTTTGCCGTCGCGGTGTTCGCACCTAAAGCACGCAATCCCACGCGCAAACATTTTTATTTTTTTATTTCCCGACTTTATTTTTTTCAATTTTTAACGACTTCAAACATTAAAAAAGCTCTTTTTTCTTATTTATTATAAAACCCATATAAAAGTGAATTTTTTATGTAAATTTAAAGTTCTATCGACCGATTATTTTGCCAGTCGCCGGTGTTTTTTATAGGCATGCGAAAAAAACTATTTTCTCTTCGATAACCGTTTCTTCACTGTTCCTATTTATCTCATTACTTCTCGTTATTACTCTAGGAATAAAAACTGTTTTATGACTAGGGTTTTCAGAGACGTCTCCATTTTTACTGCTTCCTTCACCTTCCGACGACCAGCCCTGCACGAGGATTATTTAAATTATGTGGTATTTTTTTTCAATTGTTATGTCTCTTTCTAAAAATTAATTGTAGTTTTTTTCATAATTTATTTGTTAACATAATAAAACAAGTTTCTTCATTTTCAACTGATTTTGGTACTTCGGAGCGAGGCCTCGGCGGCTCGTTGGTAGCCCTTCAGAAATTCCGAGTTCAAAAAGTTCAATTGGAAGGAAACAAGGGAAGAAAAAAGTAAAAACACCAGCAGGGATTGAACCTCTGACCTCCTGAATACTAGCCTAGAGCGTACCCACTACACTACGCGTGTAAGAGGCGACCATCGCGTTTTTCACATTATGAAGCGACGCCGCAGCAGCAAGCTAGTGAAGAAATTAGGGTGACAAAAAAGAGCATTTTTTCGTCCTTGAAGTGTTTTTTTCAGGTTTTTAAGTACATAGCTATATTTATACTTCAGAGTTATATCTTTTGAGTAAAAATGAAAATTTTGAAATTTTTGATGTCTACCCTCCTTTAAAAAGAAAAACAAATACGCCATTCACATGCGCCATTCGAGCTTTTTTAGCACTTTTTCGAAATTGCAAAGTATTTTCTGAGCGTTCTTATAACTTGCGAGCTATACAGAATTGTTTTATAACGGGTAGCTTTCAAAAAAATCAAAATTCGAAACAGGAATTTTTGAAGACAGGGCAAAAATATCTAGAAAAGCACGTTAAGAAAGTCGTTGCTCTTTTTCTGGAATTAGTGAAAAGTTAGTGGACAAAAATCGTAGGTGAAAATTAACTATTGGAAAATTAATGGAGTTTTTAATTTTGTTGTAAGAATCATCGTTTATCATAATGCATCCTTGATGTTTATTGCTGAAAATTTTCTGAAACAGACAAAAATTTGTCTTGGAACAACAGTGTATTTTGGAAAAATTCCTTCAAGGTTGTCGGTACAAAATGGGCCAAAAAGAGCTGTTTTTCAAACATCGGTTAATAGCTGTAAAACAGGGAATTTTCCGAAAATTCTGTGAATGAAATGTTTTTAATATAGGTATACACCTGGGTCCGAGTCAACGGGTCAAAAAACACGCCCTAAATAACTTTTAGGCCAGAAGAAATTTAATAATTTCCAATTTGACGTGGATTTGACCTAATTAATTTTAATCAACGAGTTGCAACGCGTGATTTTTTCGCCCAACGTTTAAATCCTCAGTCACATAATTCAGAAGCGAATTTTTTATAAAATCTCACGTTTACTGGGGCGCGATTTCTGACCCATTGGCTTGAACCCAAGTGAGTAAACGTAACCTTTTTCGATATACGTAACCTTTTTTCTGTAAAAAAGTTGACTTTCGCGAAATATTTGCTTACAAAACAATTTTTTGAGTAGTACCGTATTTTCTTGGAAAATATTTGAAACAGTAATTCTTTATTGATCCCTTCTTCCTTATTACAAAAATGTCATCCTCTTTCTTCACATGTTTTTTTTCATAAGCGACCTTCACTGTCAGAACATTCCAGACAGTTTTCCGGTTTCTTAATAAAGATTCGAACAAGAAAAAAACATTGAAAAAAAACTTCTAGACATTGGAAAAAAAGATATCGGAAATAGAAATATCCCATCCACCCCCATGTACCTTTGTTCACTGATCGTCATATCTGTTGTTGCTTAATCCGTTATATCCTTCTTCTCCTATCTTTTCTCTAACCAACCCTCCACGCTTCCCATACTCCCTAACCGTTAGGATCCATCAACCCAAAACGTCTCCCTACATTTTTCGTTCCAATTTTCTATTTCCATTTTGATCTTTGTCCCTCCCAAAAACTTTTTCGTTGTCTGGAGAAGAAGAAGACGTGCCAAATTGTTCTTCTTCTCATTTTCTAATTTCCCGCATCTTTTTTGTTGAATGTTCCCTCTTTTTGTTGAATGAAATGTTGCTTTTTTGGCAGGGACAAAGTTTACATTTTGAGAAGATGAAAATTCGGAATCAACAGAAGTTTTGCAAAAAATGCAATTTTTTGGAATTCTCGCAAATTTGATTTACAAAAGCTATGATCAAATTTCTACAGTTTCAGAATTTTAATAAACGTATTTTGAAACAGGAAAAAATTAGTTTTAAAGAGACAGGATTATTTTCAGTGTCAAAATTTCAAAATAGGAGCTTACAGGTGCACTTTGAGTTCAATAATCTCGGTTTCTGTGAGAGATATCAAAAATATATCAACAAATAAAACATTGATGATATGATGATAAACAATTTATCAGTTGAAATGTTCTTCATATCTTTTGAAAGAAGTGAGATAATTGAGCTCAAAGTGTACGCTTATAGTTTGCTGCTAATTGAGCAAGTACGGTATGCTCTACTTACCTTTAAAATTTTGCTGAAATGCAAAACATCGACTAGTACAAAACGTATAATCTCAGCTAATCAATCATTCCTATGTGGAAAAATCGCAACTCCTTCAATAATTGTAGCCAATAACTCTGTGCTCTCCTCATCCTCTCTCTTTTTCATTGTTCTCAATTTCCAATTGCTCACTTTTTCTTTTCTATTTGTTGTCAAATGTTTTCTGGTTGAACTCTTTTTCTTCTCCACCCGTTTTTTTTCGATTCGTCATCAACAAACAAATCACAGTCAAATGATCATTTTAGGGGGGGGACACTCGATCGAGTGCAAAAACTGCTCAAAAATGCACACACTATTTTTTTGGTATTTTTCATTTGTTAGTTTAGCCAGTACTACTGGCCCCAGTAGTATCATTTTTGCGGCAGATGGGATTGTATAGTTTGAGATATTGGATACGCTTTTTTTTGGGTTATTTTGGAAATTGGACACAACTTATGATCACTGTAATCCTTTCATCTGGTTCATACTCGTTGCTTGAAACTGTAAATTTCTGATACTGTGCATTTTTTATTTCGACATTGAATTTCTCGATAAATGACTTGAATATTCTAAACAGTATACTGTGAACACTCTAATAGAAGGTTGTCCTATACTTCAATTTTGAACTAAATTATTTGAATTTCTATAAAATATATCAAAAACCTTTCAACTCATGAAATGTTTCTCATAATATTACCAACATATTATTAATTGACATATTTTCGAAATATGTCATAGGAACCGAGATAATTGAGCTCAAAGTGCACATACATACAGGATGTGCTTCTACTAGAGTTATTACGGTACTTTTATGTAATTTTTTAAACTGTTTAAATACTGAAATTTATAAATATACACATACATCATCAAACGATTATTAATATTTAATAATCTCATTTAAGACCTTATTTTGAAACAGCAGAAGGTTGAAAAATAAATATACCAGGAATACAAATTTGGTAAATTTATGACTGATGTACGTTACCCATTGCATTTCGTAACGAATACTTTGAGATGATGTTTTTCTGAAACAGTAAAATTTTGAGTCAATTTGAGTTGAAGTAGATAAAACCATTTTCTTTAAATATTTCACAGTTTCAGTCACCAGTATTGTAATCTCAAGACTCCTCTCTCTCTCTCTCTCTCTCTCTCTCTCTCTCTCTCTCTCTCTCTCTCTCTCTCACTCCCTCTTTCGCATCACACCGATTAAATGATTCTTCCAAAAGCTTGAATTGCTACTAATCTCAAAATTAGAATCTCATCTATTTTCACGAAATCGTATCCATTCTTTAATCTTTCTTCGCGATATTTTGCTGCTGAACTTAACGCTATTTATTTCAAAAAGATCTGAACTACCGATATAGGATAAAACTATTCTGAGGCCTTCTTGAACTGTTTGAGGCTTTGAATTTTTGGTTTTAGTCAAGGGCAACTTTGAAATCAAACTTTTTCAGCTCTAACAGAATGAAAATCGAAAATTCACTGTTTCAGTAAATGTTGGGTTTGAAACTATCACAATTGAACCTCGTTTATGGGTTGTTCGCTAGTTCGTCCATTTTCAAGATTATTTTTTCAAAAAGAGATACGGTTTCAAAAAATTGCTGTTCCATTTTTCCATCTATGCCAGCAAAAGTCAATTGAGGCCAATTTTGACAGAATACAGTTTTTTTTGAATTTTTCTGAAAATTGGGTGCATTACAATTTCAGTGTACAGCTTCTTGCTTGAAAATTCGTTTTTAAACATCTACAATAGGAGAAAGCTTATTTTAAAAATTTGAGTAAAAATAAATTTCCCTGTTTCAAAAAATTGTAAAACTGATCAGATACCATTGAAACTGATTTTGCTTTTAGACGGATTTCTAAATCAACTGTTTCGCAGAAAAATGTACTCGAATATTCTTTTTCGAGTACAGACTCTTATTCATGCAGTAAAAAAAAGGAATAAAGTTGATTCTTCCCGTTGCTCATAGCTCACTATGAATTTAAATTCTTGATAGTAATCTAAAAATAGTCCCACAAAAAAATCGTGTTTTTCGATTGAAAAAATTTACTGTTTCAAAAATAAAACTTTTTGAAACTCAATTAGAAGAATACAGTTATCCTTTTAAATGATTATAAAACTAACAAATTCCTTCAGCTTTTTTAGAAATTTTAGGAGGTTTTCCACTGTTTCGAATTCTCATAACTCTTCATCAGTTTAGTGATTTTTTCAATCATTACTTATCTTCTATTCCTCGAAACACCTGGTACAATTTTCCGATCGAAAGAGAAATTTTTGTACTTGAACTCTGTGGAATTCAATGGTCATCTCCGAAATCGTTTTTCATTTTCCGTCATCAAACTATGTACACAAACAGATCCTTATCTCTTCCCTTCCTCATGAGAATCGTGTAGGGGTCTGATTGTAGTCTATTCGATATACGATGACGTTCATCTTTTCCACCAAACCGTGTCGTTTTCTCACTTTTCTCTCTGAGTATCTCAATTTCTAGTTGTCTCTCTTTTATTTCGAACAGATCCTGATAATCTATGTCTTCATGCGTTTCTCTTATTTAGACTTTGAATCGTTGAACATACTTCATTTTTTGCAACAATTCTTTGTTTGGAAAAATTACGGTTTCATGGATTTTTATATATTTTCTTTTTTTTTTTTGAAAAATAATAACCATTGACCTTACTGGACCAGAAAAATCGGAAAAGAAGGTGGCCGTAGCGGAAGGTCCCACAACTACAGTAACCTAAACATATTTTTTCAGAATTTATTCGCTCTGTTTTTTGCAGTTTTTCGTCGATTTCCCGGTTGTTCTCCCCCGAAAAAAGTAGATAAAAAAAGATGTATAGCAAAAAATTGACTAAAAAAGAAAATCAAGAAAATAAATCCGGAAAATAAATTTTTTTCAGATTACGGTAGTTGTCGTTGTGGGAACATCGACCACTGTCACCGACGTTTCTCTTCCACAGCTCCGATTTTTTTGTACCAGAAAAAATTATAGGTGACCGGAAAACTAAAAAAGAGAAACACAACAAAATGCAACAAAAACTTACTGTTTCAACGTTGGTTTTGCAAAATTTTAATAAATAAAATTTTAATTCAGTAGTCGAATGCTTCGTTCCGATTATTTTGTGATTTTTCGTTCTAGAGTAACAGTAAAAGCTCGTTTTTTCAAAACCCTCGAATATTATGGATTTCGATTCGAAATATTTAAAAATCTCGAAGCTTCAGATTTGCTAAATTTTCGAATTTCTCCAAAGCTAAATCTTCGAACTTATGAATGTTCTCAAGTTCTGGCATTCTAAAATTTTGAATTTCCGAATACGGACTTGTTGAAATTCGGAAATTCTGAGTTTGTCAAGTTTTTAGATTCATAGAATCCCACTAAGTAACGTAAAAAGCATTTCTGAAGTTTTAATTCACAATTAAAAAATTCCTGTTTTATAAAAACTTTTTTTTTGGAGACTAGTGACAAAATTAGTGTGAAATTAAATTCATTTTTTTTTACATTTGATAATTGTTTTCTAGTTTTTTGTGAAGGGATCTTTTTGGAACAGTAATTGTAGGCTTTAGTAGAATTTTGAAAAAAATCTACTGTTTCACTTTTTCTCGAAACTTCAACAGTTTCCGAAAACTCCAATAATTTTATTTTCCAATAATTTTATTTAATTGTTTCATATCTTGCTCATTTATAAAAAGCTACACAAGGCTCACCACTCAACTGTTTAAAGCGCCAGAGGCGAGGCAAACAGGCTGGTAATTCTTGAAAATTCCTTTTTCATAAAAACTTTCATAAGTTTGAGACTGGGGACAAAATTTGTGTAGAACTCAAATCATATTTTTACCTTTCGTTGTCGTTATTCCTTGGAGAGTAATCTTCAAAAATTGTTCCTTGTGAAGTATTATTTTTGAAATAGTAATTTTTAGACATTTTACAAAAAATTACTGTTTCAATTTCCCTAAAAATTTCAGCGGCTTTGAAATTTTTGATCGATCAAGATTAATCTCATTAGATCTTAAAAATGTTATTCAACTGTTTCATATTAAAAATATTTAACTTTTAAAAATGAGAACTTCAATGAAACCATTACAATCCAATGGTATCCACCTGATTTTGAACTTTTTTTTCTGTTTCGAAAATTCTTGATTCAATGTTTTTTGAAAAAAAATTGTTTTTGTTTTAGAACGATAGTCTATCTTCTAGACATTCTAATTGTTTCAACGATTTCTAAATTTCTTGAAATCTGGAACATATAATTTGGTTTTTTGTTGTTTGATTGTTTTGACTATAATTTTCTTTTTGTCTGAAAATGTTGCGAAAATTTGAAAACAACACAAACATCATATTGAAGAAAATATGTTTAAACCTTATTTTTTGAAAACAAATTACAGTTTCAAATTAGAAGAAGATTGTGAATGTTTCAATAAAGTTTTGATTGAAGCGTTCTTTGATAGTTTACTAAATTTCCGACATTTTGAAATCCAGAATCTATTATAGCTTTAAAAAACTTTAAATCTATATTTTTTATTTCACTCTTACAGCTCACTCCCCCTGGAAATTGTTCCGTTCTTCTTATCTCTCTTTTTCTGTCTTCTTCCTGTCAAACTTTTTGGGAAATCCCAAAAAACCAACCCTAAACAAAACCAGTCTAGTGTATTCTGGATTTTGTGGTTATGAGACATCGTTCGAGACAAAAGAAAACTTGTATTTTCTACTAGAATTTCTGAAAATCTCCACACCTTTATTCAAAATTTGTTGCTATTTTTTGAAACAACAAAAGTGTTAGAAAAAGTCTTCGTGATGTTCAGGATTACCGTAAACTCTACTATAATGCACCCGGACCGTCGACTTTGAGCCCATATCTCGGTTCCTGTAACAGACATCAAAAAGTGGTCAACTAATAAAATGTCGATCATAATATCAGCAACATTTCATCAGTTTACTACTTTTTGATATCTTTCACAAGAACCGAGTTAAATTGGCTTAAATTAGTTCGGCGCTACCGTAGCTCAGCTGGTAGCAAGCACTTCCTCGTTTCAAAACATGTTCAACTTCTCGCGGGTCGCAATTGAACTAAGGTTCGAGAAAATAATTTTTTCATGTCTTTAAAATACTGTTTCAAAAAAATTGATTTTTATTCTGATTTTTCAATTTTTGCTGGATGATGTTGATTTTAAATCAGTTAAACCGAATACCTGGGTTTTTTCGCTTCACAAATATGAAATTTTTTCAATTATTTTGCATCAATGAGGTACTGTGAAACATGTTTTAGGCCCCTCTAATTGAAGTGCCCCTATAAAGACCCAACGAAAATATAGAAGGACCAGAAATAGTGGAACTACAAAAAAATCCTAAAAACTATGAAATATTAGTTTCGAAACAGAAAAAAAAATCAAGAAATTGTAATGTTTTCAAACATCGAATCCTTTCTATAGTCTTTTTTTAAAAATCGTATTCCTTTGAGACTCTCTTGTTAAAAATTACAGCGCTCTCTGATTACAAACTTCTCAACATCATCATCATCTTGTCTAGTAATGTTTTGATGATTTATTTCGGAAGTCAACATCAGAATAAGTCTGAAAATTTAAAATTTAAAAATAGTTAGACATCGTGAAGGAATTCAGATATTTTTGAAGCGACAAAAAAAGAGCTACAAAGAATTTCAGCGAAGAAATTGAGATTTTAAAAAGTTTTGAGGATGTAACACAATTTCGAGAGCTTCACGATAAAATGGAATTGATTAAAATTTATTGAATTTTTCATTGAAGAAACAGTTGTTTTCGTTTTTTTTTCTGAATTTCTGAATTTTCGACTTCATGAATAAAATACTTTGCAATGTCCGAAACAATATTTCTTGAATCACAGATTCTTATTCAGAAAATGAAACAGTAAAAAAACAACAAAAAAATTTCTGTATAAAAAATCGAATCTCAGTGTGGGAAAAATGCTAGTTTTTTGAGGAAATGGGTTTGGAAAATTCAAGAAAAAGGGGAAATGCTTACTGATATACATGTAAAAAAGTTATCGAATATATTGGAAAACGGTGGTTTATTTAATTGATTTTGAAACTGAAATTTTTTTGTTATTTCTATATTATTAAATTGCTGTTTCTAATAGAATGTATTGAGTGTAGAGCTCCAGAATTGGGTACTATTCAGAATTTCCCTATTTTCATGAAAATATTTGAAACCGAAAATGAAAAATAATGATTTAAATGATTAATTTTTGGAAAAATTGCGAATTTATAAGATCATCAAGGTGAAATGAAAACAAATATAACGTGAACAATGTCTTTCTTACTATTAGCAATTTTTATAATACTCTTCCTCATTCTTCAATTGCTTCTGTTTGTTGTATAGTACCGAACAAAATGATTTCATATTTTGACTTTTTCAGTGGAGACTAGTCAACCTGAGAGTTTCATTTATACGAGGTATTTCAGAATTTTTCAATTTGTCTGTAAATTTCTGAGATACTAAACAAAATATAGCTTCATTTTTATAACTGAACACTTTTAAGTCAAATCCTATTTTGATGGGATGTTCCGAAAACGGCAAAATGAGCATTGAAATTATAGTTATGGAAACGCATTCCTTGCTTTATTTTCACAAAAGAAATCTTCAAAAACTTTCAGACAAAACCGAAAACTTCAAGAACAGTTTTTCAGGACTTCAAATTTGGTAACTACAGGATTTTTTACTCAATTGAAAATTGTCAAAAGTATTACCGGAGCTCGAAATAATAGTAATTTTGAAACAGCAATTTTATAAAAGTGGAATATCTTAATTCACAGGTGATTCGCGAAGAATCCGTTACGGACGCTCAGCGTTCGCGCGCGGTTGCAATAGAACCGCATATATGGACCACACGCGACCCGTTTCAGAAACCCACAACGCAGAATTCCACCACAT